GTTTTTGGCCAGGGCTGGGTTTGAACCCACCACCTCCAGCATATGGGACTGGCGCCCTACTGCTTTGAGCCACAGGCGCCGCCCAACCATTAATTTCTTACTGTCCTACAGGTGTCCATTGCTATAGAAGAGGTCACACGCTGCCACGTACGATTTACCTTCCGACACAGGTCATCTCAGGAATGTAAGTATCAGGAGATCTGTGATATATTTCTGTCTTTAAAAATATATGTATGTACAAACACACGAACATACACATATATTCACACACATACATACGTGTATTCATTCTTGCTTGACAGCCCTTTTGTGGATCTTGAGAGTAAGATACTTGGGACCAAAAAATTTGGCAACTTTATTTTAGAATTCATTGGTGCCAAGAAAATCTGTAGCGTGAATTTCGCTGGGCTTCAAGGCCTGTGCTGATCCCTTTACGTCAGATGGTGCACTGAACAAAATACCTTGCAGAGTCTGTTTTAGGACAATAGATATTGAGATATTTCACTTAAGGGCTTTGAAATGGGGCAGTTGACATGCAGTGAACTGGATTTTGGAAACCTCACTTCAGCATGGGGAAAGCACTGGGCAGGAGAGCACTGGAAACAGAGGCGTTAGAAAGGTCTTATAGCAACGAAGGGAAGAGGTGTGGTGGCCTGAACTCAGGTACAAACAGAGGAATAGTGAGGCATTCAGGCCATGGAGTGGTGATGGCATGGAGTTGGCATCAACACCCACATTTCTGGGGCCGGTCACAGTGGCTCACGTCTGTAATCCCAGCACTCTGAGAGGCCAAAGCAGGTGGATTGCCTGAGCTCACAGGTTCAAGACCAGTCTGAGGAAGAGACCTTGTCTCTAAAAATAGCCAAGCATTGTGGTGGGCACCTATAGTCCCAGGTACTTGGAGGCTGAGGCAAGAGAATCGCTTAAGCCCAAGAGTTTGAGGTTGCTATGAGCTGTGACACCACGGCACTCTGCCAAAGGTGACATAGTGAGACTCTATCTGAAAAATAAAAATAAAAAAAGAAACCTACATTTCTAAGCTGGGTTATCAGGTGGATCCTGGGGTCATTTATTAGGGAATGGAGAAAGAGGAGCACACTTGGGGGTTCCAGACGATTTCAGTGACACCGTATGTGTGGTGTTTACGGTGTGTTGAAGCGTGTTTATTGTAATGTGATTGAAGGTCACACCCCAGAGCACAACTGAAGTCAGCGTCACGACCATCAATTTCTGGTGTCTTTCCCTGCTGCTCAGACACACATTTCTGTCTTTTCAGCCAGAGACAAATCAGAGCGAGCCTTCGGGGTGGCCTTTGTGAAGCTGATGAACCCGGATGGCACCACCTTGCAGGATGGGAGGCACGACCTGGTGGTTTATAAGGTGGCACTGACAGAATGTGGCCCAGAAAATGGCCGGGAAAAGCGTTAACTCCCTTTCAAATTGGCATTTAAGGCTCCTTTTAGATTTATGCATACACACACCTGGAACCTCCCTGGCGCTAGATGGGTTTGTTCATTAAAGTCAAGAAACCCAGAGGGCTCTGGTCACCCCAGCTGTGTGGTTTCTTGTCCCCCTTCTGGGGAGGATGGGTCGCATTAGTGCCTGGTCTTCTAGAAGCTTCTCACCCTCTCCTGCATGTGGAGCAGGGCAGTGAGGAGAGGAGGGCTGGGCTCTTCTAATCTGCTTTCTCTGTCGTCCTGCATGGGCTGAGGTCAAGTGTGGTGGGTGTGGCCGGATGTGGTTTTCATATCGCTGTGAGCCAGATACCATCCTCCCTAAGGGTTTGATCCCCCTTCTTCCCTTCTAACTGTTGGCAAAGCTGCTTCTACTGAGGTTTTAGAGTACAGAGTAGATGCCGGAAGATCTGGTTGATCTAACAGTATCTGGGGGGTTTTCTGCCAGTTGGCAGCCCTTGTGGGTTGCATCTCCCTGAGAATATTTTCCTTAACATCTTAGTTTGCAGATGGTTTTGGAAGGCATAGAAGCTGTTTCTGCTTGTGTAAACCAAAAGAAACACCACGGTGGCCCTTCATGGGCTCAAGAAAATGAAATTCAACCTGATTCTCTGCCATGTTTATTATTTCTAGCGTAGACTTGGATATTCTGCTTTCTAGGTCACAATTAGAAACCACAAATTCGTTCAGTGATGCATTATTTCTGGGCCCAGACTCCATGGAAAGACATCACAGTGTCTCACAGGTGGGAGGGACCGTACATTTAATTAGAGACAGCCACAGTTCTCAGGCTGGAAGTGCGCTGTGCTCCTGGTGGAAACTATTTCCATCTGCATGTAAGAGATGCCGCCTGTGATTCCGTGTTGCTGACGTGCTTCCTTACAGGGCGACAACAAGAAAATGGAAGATGCTAAATTCTACCTGACCTTGCCCGGGACCAAGGCTGAGATGGAAGAAAAGGAGCTCCAGGCATCCAAAAACCTGGCCGCCTTTACCCCCAGCAAGGACAGCACGAAAGACAGCTTCCAGATCGCCACCCTCATTTGCTCCACTAAGCTCACCCAGAACGGTAGGTGCGGTGACAACACAGGGGCAGTGAGCTTTCTGCTTGGTCCCCACGAGCTCCCCGGTTAGACTTCAGCCAGGTCTTCCGAGCTGAGATCGTGGGCAGCTGGATCCTGCTCTCTGCTTTGCAGATGTTATTCTGTGTAGTACCGATCAAATTGCACAGCCATGTGTGAGATTTGGTTGTCCGTCTTTAAGACAAGATGAGAAGCGTTTCAGTATTTTTTGATATCATAAAACCTATAAGTGTGCTCATTAGCAGAAACTGTGAAGTCCAAGTCTTTTGTTTCCTTCCTTTAGTGCAAAACAGCAAAGAGCTCTGATAGTGCTCGGGGCCCGTAGCACAGTGGTTATGGCGCCAGCCACAGACACCCAGGGCGGCCGGTTCTAGCCCAGTCTAGGCCTGCTAAACAATAACGACAACTGCAACAAAAAATAGCTGGACCGTTGTCCAGCGGGTGCCTGTAGTCCCAGCTACTTGGGAGGCTGAGAGAAGAGAATTGCCTAAGCCCGAGAGTTTGAGGTTGCTGTGAGCTGTGATGCCACGGCACTCTACCAAGGGTGACCTAGTGAGACTCTGTCTCAAAAAAAAAAAATCAACTCCTTAAAAGGCTTGGTGAGTAGAGCACCAGCCACGTATACCAAGGCTTGGTTCGAGCCAGGCCTGGGCCTGCTAAACAACAATGACAACTGTAACCAAAAGAAAAAAATAGCTAGATGTTGTGGTGGGCGCCTATAGTCCCAGCTACTTGGGAGGCTGAGGCAAGAGAATCACTTAAGCCCAAGAGTTGGAG